TTCTTCTTCTTCTTCTTCTTCGTCCTTCCCTTCCTCAGTTAACTTTTTTTAAAAAGACAGGAGAGCGAGTTAACGCACGCCTACGCTGAGAAAAAAAAGTCGGAAGGGTTCAGATAAAGTGTGCAGAGACAGAGTGTCCCGGTGGTGAAACATCTGCCGTCCAGTCGTGCACCATTACGCACCAATGGTTCAGCTGCGGCACTCTTAACTGCTCAACTTGAAGCCACTACCAGCCAACAGTGGGAGCGCCTTCTCCCCACTAGACAACCACATATTTAGCCAAGCGAATATTTTTTTAAACTACAAAAAAAAGAAAAAGAAACTGTTATATCATCATATCCTGCAAAAAATGTCCACCCCCACGGCTAATATTCTAGTTTTCTAATCTATTCTTTCTTAAAGAGAATGGAAAACTCTTCCAGATGTAAGGCAATAAGTCATATATGTTCACATTAGTGCACAAACACGTGTCAGTGATAACATGACAATAAATCAGGGATAACAGAGGTCAAAAAGTTGCACGTGTCTGAGGAAAGATGGGACTGAATTTTGGTACATATTACAGAAATGCACCAGTGTCCATAAATAATCCACTCAAAAATATTGAAGAATTATAAAATACAAAGATGAATGAATATTAAGGACATAAAAATATGTTTAGAATATAGAAACAGATCAGACCAAAGGAATAGACACGTATTCCATCCATGATGTGAGAGAAAAGTAACAGGTTAAAGGAGAAATTGAATTTTTTTCAGGTCTATCATAAAATAATGCTCACAGGTCCATATGCGCATTGAAACAGATTTTAGTTGCTGCAATTGTTCCTTATGTCGATGTTTTGCACCAACATACATTAGCTTATAAGAGGCTTCAGCATTTTGAGGTAGACAAATGAAAGTGGCCAAAGCTAGTCTTTTTAATACTATACCCTCTATTGCAGCTCATCTTTGAGCATGTCAAACATTGATATGGTGCCTTTTGTCTTTTCAGGGTCAGTATGGACAGTAGGGACACTTACAGGGACTGTGTCAGTGTACATTATGTTTGAAGTTAGCATTAAGAAAATTCATAAAGTGCATTTCACGGTAAGGTAAAGTGCTGTGTGCTATTAAAAGTGAAGCCAATCATCATAAAAGTAGACTGAATAGCCATTTTCCATGTCCACTGAATTCTAGTATAAACAAAGCACATCTTGCATTATCCAATTTAATGAGCTCATGCAATTTCTATCTCAGGTTTTCATAATATGCGCTAATCCTGCAGATGTCACTGTGAGCATGTGTTCCCTTTGCCGAAAGGGAACAAATCCAAAACTATCGTTAGAGGCTTAGAATGTGTGAAAACTGTACAGTAGATTTCATCAGTGGAATGACAGCCTGTTAAAACTTTGGATGGCTGCTCAAGCAACCAGGATTTCTTTGGCCCCGGCTCACCCTGCTGGAGTCCAGACTTTTAGTCAGACATGACCACGCAGAGACTGAACCAACAACTCTGGAATCCTTCTAAGAGGAAGAGACGGGGGTTGGGTTGAAATGAGTTTTGACTTTCAGGTACTTTTTTTGAGGGAAAAGGTGTCTAGACTGGACATTCTTTTCCCTCCACAGTTCCTCGACTGTGTCTGGGCTCTGTTGGTCTGGGCAACCTCCCCCCAACGCAGTGCCTATACCCTCACTCCGTGGCTAATTAGCTCCATGCTCCCAGGATGGTCAATGTAGAGCAGGTGTGGGTTTTACGCAGTCATCCCCCCAGGGCGGCAATGAGCGGACTGGATGGTGATCCAGAGCTGTGCATTAATAAGCGATGGAAACTAACCACAGCATTAAGAGATGGAAACCATTAACTGCCTTGTAAGAAGTTTTACGCTCTTTTTCCATCCATACTGTTTGGAGTGTTTTTTGTTGTTTTGTTTTTTTTTTTGTTTGTGTCTAAAAGCCAGGATGACATTCCACAATATAGCATAGTATTCAATTAGAAGCCTTGTTTTTTCCTTTCTGAAATGAATAGCTCCACTCACAGTCTGTGGTTAAGTCCACACACCAGAACAATTTTCTACTACAGTGCTCGCATTAGAACACTCTGTCCTTCACAACAGGCGTGTATGAAACCTTTAATACACTCTTGTGTCAAATCGAACCCAACTCTCGAGTACTTTAACAATAAGCTGCAGATATTCATGTGAGGATGCCAGACCTCTTCAGAATTGGGATTTTGTGAACTATAAACACTTGAAAATGTAAGTCTTTGTTTGCCTCTTCACAGAGACACATGTCAAAGTCAGACAGAGAAAATTACATAAAATCAGACAGACACAATGTAATCTGCTGAATAGTACTTCAGTCTTTGAGGGTGGAGCTGCAAAGAATCAAGCTTCTCCCCGTGTTTCCAGCCATGGGGCGAAGTTACAGTACAGTGTGTGGAGCTATGGATGCCTCAGTGTGTGCTGTAATGTGGTCTAGCCATGCCAGCGTGCTGAGAAAATATGTGACTTTTCATCTCTGAGATGCAGGGAGATGCAAAGCAGCTGCTAGTCTGCCCCGCAGCTTGAGGGAAGAGGAGCGTCTGCGTTTGCCAAGTTACAAACCAGCCACTGGAAGAAGTTGTTATTACGGTCCTCTGCCCCGTGTGGACAGAGGGATTTGGGCCTGAAAGCGTCAGAATGAGCACTGAGTCATGACCCGGGTCAGACTCGATGAGTTTCACTTGAGCTTTCTTAAGAAAATGTGATTAGTGACTTATGAGTGTGGGAGTCTTTTCTGTAGCTGTAGCTCATATATGTGTCAAAGGTTTTACCTTAATTACTCCCACCAAAGAGAATTACATTTTATATCACGTTTTTTTCTTTTTGGGGGCTTTTTATCGCCTTCATGAGATAATAGCAGGATCACACGAAAGTAGGGATGACATGCTGCAAAGGGCTGCAGGTTGGAATCAAACCAAGGCCGCTGTGGTAAGGACTCAGCCTTTGTACAATGGGCATACCTTTACTGGGTGAGCTACCACGGCACCCCATCAGGATTGTTTCTCAATATCTCAAAAATGACTCAACAGTTTTCAATTAAATTGATAAGGCAGAAGTCTTGTCCAACAAGTCCCCCAAACTGAACAAAAAAAATGCTTTGTTTGTCCATGCTTTCTAGAATGATACATAAAATTGTTTTCTAATTTGATGCCACAAAAACTCTGTTACAAATCACTGTTAAAAAATACATACGCTCTATGATGTGACAACTCTATGGTTTGGTTAAGTTTAGACGCAAAAACAACTTGGTAAGGTTTAGGGAAAGATCATGGTTTGGGTTCAAATAAGTACGTTGGAAAGGTTAGGGGAACTTTGTTGTGGTTACTAAAAAAAAGACTTGGCTTAGTGAATGATCATGGCCATGCTTTGAGAAAAACAACACTGACTGTTGGTTTGTCACAGGAAACAAACAACTGTCTCCCGTGTTAAACTGTTAAACTCCTGTGTTTTGGTTGACCCACCCACTGTGAGCCTAAGAGGTTGGTGCCTGGTTGGTGGATCTTTTTTTCCTTAACCATCAGACAGAGCAAGTGATGCAAATCCCTGTTCACATGCAGATTTAAGGTTTATCATAATGTCTTATTAAAATAACACATTTATACTAATGTGCAGCGTTTCCAGAGGTATTTCCAATTTTAGGACGCTGTCATTAGTGGCTCCACTTTAGGAATTTGTTATCTTGTTATGTGGCGTCCAGTCTAGCTCACACAACAAGATAATAAGTCACAAGCTACTTACTCTAAATAACAAAACCTTAGTCGATGTGATATAATCCAAAAGATCGAATGGAGGGAAAAAAGAAAGCACATTTAAGAGCTCTCTATCAATTCAATCAGTATTTTTTTATCCTGCCAGCTGAGACTTTTCATTACCTTGCTCAGCGGAGTGTGTAATACCTAGCCAATCAAGGATTGTGTATTATTGCCTGCAGTAAATGAAGGCCTTTACGTGTGTTTGCCAAAGCAAATTTGAGAACATCCCTTCAAAGATATTCACGCTCATGTTATTATTGACGAAATCACTGAGAGGGCTGAGAGCACATTTGAGACTCTGAGGTGTTTGTAATGCTGCCTTTATCCACACAAGAACAATCAAAGAGGACGGCGGTGCACCCATGCACCCCTTGCACCGGCACCATGCCTCCTCTCCTGAACAGCTCTCTCATCTGCAGAGGGAAGCTTTTCACATGAAGTTCATTACATCCCCTCTCGCTGCTCACCTCTCAAAGCCACTCTTTGTCCGCGGTAATCTCGGGATCCTTCAGAACCGCTAGCTTGAGTTTCACATTGGGGAGTATCTCAATGAGTCTGGAAAGGATTTCAAAGGCGAGGGGCCGCTATATCATCCAAGCATGGTCTTCATGTCCTGGGCTTATCTTGACCCGGAGTCAAGTTGGCCACATGCTGCAACTGAATAGCCCCTCTCCATATCCGAATGTTGTTTTAACCAATTTGTCTCTGTTGGTAGAGTTAAGAGAAATTTACAAAACAGACACTGTGCTCTATAAAAGCGTGTTTGTGTTAGTGTGCATATATCTAATATATCTCCCAGACGCCTAACAAAGACAGATAAAGTAGCCCATAAACTGAGATGATGTAGAAAGGAAACAAGTTAAGAAACTATAAAAGGAGCATTTCAATCTGGACCACTTGGTTTCCATTTACAATAATCCAGGATAGGCTGTGGTGTGATAAAATCCTAACAACTTCCGTACTCCCAAAGATAAGCCTGCTATGCACTTACAAGATGGGAAGTGATCTGGGATATCAGCCTTTCAAAGCAGGCCAGCAAAGCCAAGTGAGCTTCACTGATGTGCCGGCCGGTGGCTTTTAATCCCCACACAGTCCTCCATTCTTGAGAGAGTGACCATATATTTTTTTTTAATTAAGACCTTACCTGTCCACATCAAAAGGCAACTCAGATTAGTCTTTTGATCTTCCTAAGCTCTTTATTACTGTATATGGAATATGTTAAGATTTCAGCCCAACAATGAATCATCTGTCTTGTGTAAACGTATGCTGCCCGATGCTCATAACCTGCTCTGCTCTTCCGAGGCTGGCATTGACACAAGACAAAGAGGCCGTCCGGATATACGAGTGGAGTCTTAGTGGTGCGTATCTAGAGCAAAAGATGATGCTGAGATAAGGAGGAAAAAGACAGGAAGCCGAGAAGGGAAGAGACAATTATTTGGCTCCCTTGCAGAACGTTGTTTTATTGAACTTTTAAATCCAAATCCTTGACACAGATTGGATCGGTTTTATTTTTCTCCTCAATACACAAGGAAATGATACCAAAAGCAGACACATGCTATTAAATCTATCTGAATTATTTATTTTACCCCCTGCAAAAAAAGAAAGTAAGTGGCACATATAGTGAATAAAGGGTAATGCATTGCCTCTATGATGGGTGCCTCTTAAAATGAACATTAAATTAAGTGCATAGCTAAGGCGTTAGGGTGTTATTATAACCTATGTCCTTATGTTATCATGTTACGCAAAGATTGGTTCATAATGGGTAGCTCTTAATTATCAATCATCACAATTAGTCTGAATCAATTACATAGAGTGCAAACCCTTTGACAAATTGACAGTAAGAAAAAAATACTTACAAGAGGCATCTGGAGGAAGGATTTTTTTTTCTGGCTTATCTTTGTTTAAAGGCAGGAATCGTGGTTTTTAAAGCACACTTTGAGCTACAAATTACTTTACAACTAAACACATTGGCAAATTAAAGAACAAAATAGACAAACAAAAGTGTTAAAACTGTTAAAGAAATACTGTACAGTAAAAGTTATTCCATAAATGTAGGCACACTTAATAACTGGCATAAAAAGCCTCCTTCCATTGATGCCACTAAGATGCAGTTGTTAAAGGGTATATTTATCCTTCACCAATAGATACCAAGTGTTTTTTAACCCCAGTTACAGCAAGTATTTGAGGGCCTGGCTGTTTCCAACCATAAATTTTTACAGACATATAATTTGATTCCTGCTGATGGACTGGCGATGTCAAAGACATTGTAATCGTTTACTGGCAGGGGTCGTGAAGTCTGTGAGAGCCGAGCTGATTAAAGGGGAACCAATTTTACACATCAAAGTCTGTTTACAGGTCTTTGGGAGTACTCAAAGACATCTCCCCTTGAGGCTAGCAGATCAAGGCTACGTTAGCTGCTACTAGCATAACGCATCCAAATCTCCAACTGAACTGTTTGCGGCTGAACTGCATCGTGGGTAACGTAGGCGGCAGGTTTTCTTTGCAAGGAAGAAAAATGTGTAGAATATAAAAAGGTGATATCTGGTTCTTCACATGACATTAAGGAAGTGATGTTACAATTTCATGGGACTTTAAAGGAATCTCAGAGTATACATTTAGCAATTTTTAAGCAACATTGCTCCAATGTTTACAAATACAAAACACACATTTACAGTTTTGAAGTAAAATCAAATTAGCATAAAAAAAATCCTGACATGCTGTACTGCTAGTACCTGTATCGCACATGTTAATGAATGTAAAAAAGAAACAGGTACAACAGATTACTGGTGTTATGCTGTCAATAAAGAAACTATGGCCAACAGCATATTTAAAATCATATCAAAAACATTGACTCTGATCAGCTTTAAAAAACCGTAAGGACACATTAACATTTAAATAACAACAGCTTTCATATGTACAAAGGGAACCCTCTCAAAAACTGAAAAACCTTAAGTCGAAGTGCACAGTCACTGATGACAGCTGTGCTGGGCAGAAAAGGACAGGGCTCAAGAAAAATATCAGGTCACAAAAGAGCAAACAGTTGTGACATACAACCAAAATTGTTGGCTGACACAGTGGAATTTGCTCCTCTCCTCCATAACAACACTTAACTCTCGTCTTGTTCTAACAGAAGGTTGTCTCATCTTCAAAAGTGAGAACACATAAGGAACATTTTTTTTTTTTTGCCTTGATTTGAAAAAAGTAACAAATATTAGTACACTGAAATTCTACCACTGATTTAAAAGAAAAAAGGCAAAGGCACAAATATCAACTTCTAATATAGGAGCAACATTCTGCTAAGACTCATAGAAACAACATCAAAATGTTAACATCGCCAGTGAGTTGGAAAAAAAAAAAAAGAGCAGTAACACAAAAAATAAAAGAAGAGAAGATATGCATAACAATACAGGGGTAAATATAGAAGGCATAACAAAGTTAATGTAAATGTCTTTTATTCTGAAAAGCACAGTACTGTCTTGCTGCGTTCACAGTGATTCTCTCTCAGATGAACTCCCCTCGGAAAGGAAGTGACTGAATGTTTTGCTGTTGCCAGCGGCAGCGCAGCCTGGCCAACGGCGTGTCCCTCAGGTTTTCAAACTCGGAGAAGCCCAGCTGGTTGAGGATGTCATAAACTCCGGCTCTGGCAGCCACCTACCACAGAAACACACAAAATGTTAATGAACAGGCAACACAGCCACCCAGGCTTTTTTTTTTTTATTTGTCCATCATGACCACTTGAACGCTTTGACTGTCACTTTTTTCAGAGTTAAAGCACGTTATGTGACAGTCCCCTGCATGCAGCTGTTCCATTGGAACAATAGGTATCTACTTAGGGTTTGGAAACAACAGGAAGTGGCAGAAGAAGTATTCAGATCCTTCACTTGGGTTAAAATACAAACACCACAATATGAAAATACTCCATTACAAGCAAAGTTTATTTAAGAGAACAGACCACTGATTTTACACATCAGGTTAAGTTTAGTTCACAGAGACTAGTATCTAGCCTCTGAAAATGTTTTCCGTGGCTTTGGAGGGCGCTCTCAATGAAAACCCTCGATGATGTCACTGTGATGTCATTAGGGTTATTTCAAGCTTGGCAAAACTGATAACAGAAAGCTTTTATTAGGAACTAGGTGGTGTGGACTTTAAGACAGTGACATTTACCAACCAGGGGGAATCTAATGAAAGACACTATCTAGTTGCATCATGGAAAATGTAGGATCTAGTGTTTTGGGGGGTTTAACCAATACTTAAAGTCAGGATATATCAACCTCTGCTGCTTCGATTTTGATTACCGTTTCTTTAATTAATCTCTTATAAAAGTAAAATACTACTTTGCAGGAGCACCCCTTTAAGAAAATTATAAATCGTAAATATTATCAGTGAATTATTGTATACTTGAGTGTTGCGGTAGCACCAATTTGAACTACTTTATGTACTGTTGGG